CGGCGGCTGCTTCTGGGGCGCGCAGCGCTGCGCGGCTGCCTGTGTGCGAGCAGCGGGGAGGGAAGGAAAGGCACAACTTCCTGCCGGAATGAGAAAACGCTGTAACAAAAAAGTGCTCCCACTGCTATCAGGAGAAACGGAGATTTACATTTGATTATTTTGTTTAAAGCCCTATGTCAGCACACAAGATCAAAGACTCTACCAAACCGTTTTGACCGAGGATCATCTACCCGTAACAAACAGACACCTTTCTCAGGATGTCCTTTGGACTAGACCAGAGTTCAGATTGGGAACACTTGTCCAGTCCTTGAGAATTTTAGACTTAAACAAACCTCAGTTCCCCGCACATACTAAATTTTTGAGATCAATATATAAATCTGTTCTGAAATTCCTAATAAAAGAAAGTAATCTGCAATATTTGAGGTCCCACTATGACAGAATTAAGAATCTGAGAAAAAAGGATTTAGAAAAGGCTGACTGATGTTAGGGGGAAAATAAAAAAAAAAAGAAGAATCTTGGTCTAAAGTAAACCAGTTATTAAGAATCCCCTGTCACAATATTTCAGTGTTATTTGTAATATTAAGGACATTAATGTGAAAACATTATTTTAACCCAATAGGGAATTTAGAAAAGGGAAACTATTTCCCCAATAAACAAGTATAAGTTCTTTGGATTCGCCCCCCATCCTGTTTCAGAACAGATGTTACTGAACACTTTGATTGGCCAACTCATACATGTTTTTACCTACTTCACTCTCCCCCTCCCAGAAATCACACAAGCAACTTTTTTCAAGAATAGAAGCGCTCCAGAAAACATTTAGGGTTCCCTCTCACATTTCTGAGGCTGACTGAAGGTTTAGCTCACTGGAACGAAAGTGATATAGCAGGAAAGCATTCTTGCTATGCTTGTGACTTCCAAGATACATAGCAGGTTACAGAAAAAAAACAGACTATACTCATTCTCTCTGTAAACAAAATTAGAATGCATTTTGCAGATCTGTACCTTGTTAGTCTTGCCTTAGTTTCCAGACAATACTGCCAAGACTTAACACCTATGGACTTCCACTTAGAGACTTCCACGCTTCTCCTGCCTGCCCAGCACACTGCGTTTGGAAGGCAACACACAGGACTGCGGTTGTACTTTGGCCTCTCTTATCTGTAAGAAAAATAGGACTTGAATGATTTAGCATCTCTGTGCCGGGTGCAAGCCTAATGCCTCTTCTGAAAGCAAGTCTTCAGAGAGGTCAGTGTCAGACACCCCCAAATCGCTTTTGAAGCCCTTGTCATGTCTGTAAGCTCTATGTGCTAACGAAACCATGGTCAACAGCTTGCTTTAATGCAGGATTTGATCTTGATTCTAAATTAGACATTTTCCACACACACACACACAAAAAGGTTATTCCAAAAGCATTTGATATAGTTACAATACCCAGACTAGTATCTGGAGCTCAGCTAACAGAAAACCTCTTTCTAAACTAACTAAACATGCTTCGGAAACCCACATGTGAGACACTCTTAACCAGAAAACAAAACATGCATAATTAGACCCACTCCCTTATTCACCCCACCCCTTCAATACATACTTACAGTACTTATATTAACATTTTAAGTTTATTCCATACTAGCTATTCAAAATAGATTGTAACATACGAGAACTGTGATACAATTTTCTTTATTAAAAATAATTTACAGCATCAGTAACATTTTATGCACAACTGTCATCAATTGAACTTAAGATATCTCTATACAATGCTTACTGAACTTAAAACTTACACTGTTCTGTTGGCTTTAAACAGCAGACATTTATTTGCAGTTGCTTAAATATGATTAATATACATAGTTTCATGTCCTTATACTTAGGTGTAAAATGTATAAACATCAACACTATCCCAAAGCTTTGTCGTTTGGGAGGGGAAGGGAGGAAGAGGGGCACAAGGAGAGAAAACATTTAGAAAAATTGGAACAGATTCTTCTCCAAATCAAACTGGAAAGAGACCTCTAGGGTAAATACATCTAACACAGAGTCACTTCTTCAAAAAGGTACATTTCCTTCTATGCTTTAAAATACTACAAAGAGCTCTAATTGGACAATGCTGTTTTGTGTGTGATCACAGCAATCCTCTGACTGTGCCGCATCCCACCGCTGCCAGAAAGCAGATGTCACTCTTGCCCATCTAAAGCTCCTAGGATCCCAGCAGTGTGGCCAAAGTTAAATGTCTTCCCTTTGCTGCCGAACTGGACTTTGCAACGTTCACTGCTGCACAACGGAGAGGGGACAGGCATGTTACCATGGATAATCAGGCGTTACCTCCGCTGGCAGGTGAGAAGCAGGAGGTGGGTACATAAGCGGTGCTGTTCCTCACAGCACCCACTACGCTTTAGGCGTACAGATGTCAAGGGTAGGAGTCAGTCAACTCATCCAGACGCTACTGACCTCGGCATACTTAGGGACAGACCCACTACAGCAGCAACAGCAGGAGCCTGAAGTTGAACAGCGACTGTGCCGGAGCACAGCTCAAAAGCTGTCATTCATTGATTTTAAGACATAGGAGTGGAGCAGAATTAAAGTAGTTGCTATGGTAACGAAACCCATCACGTCTCTTAAAAGAGATGACTAGCTTTATTGGAGAACTTGCAGATAAGTCACATCCCGTGAAATTGCACTTAACTTCACAATACTGATTTACCTTGACATGGCTTGGATCACTGTCTCCTTCTGAAAATTGTCTCCTTCTACTGCGCTAGAGAAGGCAGGAGGAGGCCGTGTTCCCTTCAAGCATCAGCATTTACACAAGTTTTAAATAGGCTTGTAGTTGTGTTTTTATTTATCATCTGCACAAGGCATCATTATGTGCCAGCACTAAACTCCTATTTGCTCCCCAACAACGAACATGCATTATCTTGAACTAAATCAAGAATATGCCTTTGAGCTGGGGAAAAAATAATAGTATTAAACACTGTTTTACAAGAAATAAGATTTGCTCAATAACTGGATAAAATTAGCAAAAGTGTACCACAGAACAGAAACTCATTCAGCATTCAGTTGAATAGAGCATTCAAAAATGCATTGATATATCACCCATATCAGTGGTAGGAGTCATTGGAATGGTCTTTATCTTGACTAAAAGAAAACCACAGCAAAACTAGTGAAATATACAAACAGATCATACAGCATTTAACGCTTTAAGGAACTTTGTCCAATAAAATAAAAAGGTGTATCAAAGTTATGCCAGTGAAGTCAAATGAAGGTGGCATTTGAACTGTCAAAAAAATTAATATACTGTAATGATACAATTATGTCAGGGTGGTGTGATTTGGTTTTTTTTTTTTTTTAAGGAATGTCAGATACATACTATTTAAAGATTTGAACGGTGCATCTGTTAGTTTGCAAGTCAACTAGCTTTGTGTCTGGTTATAAATTGAAAGCACATGTAGTAAAGCTAATATAGTCCTCTTGGAGGTTTTGATATTTAAGACAATGTTTATCAAGAGCAAAAAATCTTATAGCAGAATCTTGACAATTCATAGGCAACTTATTGCAGTTTTGTTTTCCAAAAGAAATTAACCTCTACGTAAACCATACGCAGTATTATGAAGCTTTGCAAGACACAGGAGCACAGAAATAGCCTCTTGAAGCTGAAGACTCACTTGCACAGATCAGAAGCTATCAGTGCTTAGTTAATTGGTGAAACAAGCACTTTTGCAGAAACTGTGCATCTTCTATTAATATTAAAGAACAGAGTTTTTACCATCAATGTGCTGACAATTAAATTTATAGAAGTTGCAACGGCGTAAAAGAGTCCGATTTGTTCAGTATTCTGGGATCTTCAGCAGAAGAATCTGATGCCTGTTTGGGAGAGCTGTAAACTAACAGCATATTAGAAAGCATTAAAAGGCAGTGTGTCTGCCTCCGCTATTTAACATTTGACACATAAGTATAACTTACTAGACATAGGTCATATTTAAAGCAGAGACATTTAAACAGTTCTAATAAATGGTTTTAAAGATTTTTAAAGGTTAAAATACTAAAGGGAGGTGCTTTGTCTAATGATATTGCAGACAGTAAAAACTGATGTCGGAAGTGACAAACTGCGTCCCTTGAAGTAGGTATGACACTTCAATCAAAGGATGCTGCAGCTTGCCAAAAAGCTGGGGTGCCACACTTAACCTGCATGAACAAAATAACTGC